TGTATACACCAGCTTAATGAACACTGTAATTTCCTTCCTCAACAATAAAATTATTCTGTATACAAAGCCAAAAGAAACGAACAAAAAAAATTTCTTATGCAATGCGCAGAATGGTTTGACAGATATTTTTAGGTGAGTTAAGTCAACCTAAAATAAAATGGAACACGGCAAACCTCTGGATTTGAGATGAACATATAATAAAATTAGTGTAGACAAGTAAGACACTTCAATATCCTCGATAAGCGAAACAAAACCAAAATAGACGAAAATGTGGCAAATTACAGAACATTTTCACAAAGGAAAAAATGATAATAATAATAATAATGGTGAAGTAAAATAAAACAAAAACAAACTAGCAGGAAGCATTGAATAGTATCTCACACTAATTCACAGGATCGAAAAATGTTACGTTTTTACAAGCGTTTAAGATCTAATCAAGAAAAGCAACACTTAAAAACTACCCGAAAAGCTTCTACTCAATTTCGTAATCATAACAAAGTCTCTTGCAAACCACTCAGAAGCATTAAGTACCATGATACCTTTTTATAACACCAGCGCTTCAAATTACACGGTAAACCAGATTTACAGTGCAGCTTCACCAATTAAACTTAAAAGAATTTCCATTTTTTAGCATTACGAAAGTCCTTCATTATCACTGCAGTTTCAGAAACAGAAATATGTCATAAACTTCAAGCATCTCAAATTCTGAACAAAAACAATAGCTACATTAATAGTAAAGACAAAAACCAATTTTTGTACCGATAAAACAAACTGCATCAGAACCTATTCAGTCATCTCCAGGATGTTCTGGGCAGCAATTCTTAATTTTAAACCATTTGTCGATACAACTGAAGCACAAGTTAAAGTCAAAAAAGACAATCAAAGCTCCGTTAAAGAAAAAAAAAAACAACAAAAAGTTTAATACATTTTAAAAGGAAGGATAAAAACTAACGTTTTATGATAAATGCAGAAGCATTCAAGACGAGCAATAATATCACCAACAACCATTTCTTCAAGACAAATAGCACATTCTCCTTTGTCTTCAGATAAAACATCCTCTAAAGTGTAATTCGATGAATGCCACACAAAAAAATTCAAAAATTCTTTGGTTTAATGACAGCAATGTGGTAAACACTAAAGATAATTTAAGTGAGAAAAGACGCTTACAGGTAACTCTGACCATTTTACTGAAATGACTTCATTTTTTTTTATTTTTTTGAGAATAAAAACTATGACACATAAGCGACTACCATTGTAAGTAACTCTGGGGCGAGTAAGGCACATTAGAAGATGAACTTCTGCATCGTCTGCAGGAACTGTTCTTTGACAGACTGGACATACTACGTCCTGGGAGAAGCCTGTAAAACTTTTAAACTGATCATAAATAGACCTTTCAAAAGCAAACAGTATATCTTTAAAAGTGAACTGAATCTTAATTATTTCTAACACAAATGAAACCGAAACAATAATTTTAAGAACAGCAACCAGAAGAGGAGTTCTAAATTACAAATACGGAGAAACTAAATGTAGTTTTCTCAAATACTTCTTGACAACGGCTTCTAAGAAGATTAGACAACTACAAAAGAAACTATAGCTACTACTTTTAAAGAAACAGTTTCAACCGAATCTAATGAAAAGATGATTACAGTTATAACTACGGCTCAATGTCTTTAGTTGAAGACCTCCGGAAGAATAACAAGAGTGACCTTAGTCACCAATATTCTCAGAAAAATATTGATAGAAAATAATTTCACAAACTGAACAAGTATTTCGAAAAGATGTAAACAATAAAGAAAAAAAGAGATTCAAACAAACTGTCCACTTGCTAAAATATCTTCCTCTCCTCCCAGAATGAGCAAGATAAAAGAAACCATTACATGTTTTTAATGAGAGGAAATACCGATCGACTGAAAAGACTTGAAGTAGCAAGACTACTGGAAAATAGGAATAAGTTTCATCCAGAAAAAAACTAATTAAAAATTACAAGAAACCAAAAAGGGTGTAACTAGTTCAACAGGATATAAGACAGCAGACAACGCATCGCAATCTGTGCCAAAATAGAAAAGCTAAACTGATATTACACCATATAATTACTGTTTGAATCAGATAATCTACCGCAATGATTTTAAAAAACTGTTCCTAAACAACAAAAAAGTTTCCGAAGATAAAAGATTGTTGATAAAAACAAGCATTAGGCTTGCTCTCCACTAAAGGTTACACACAGTATTGCAAGACAACTTCCTTCCGCAATTTTACCACAAGGAAAACTTCCGAATAAGCTCAAAATTACAATAAACCTTTCTACTCCCTCCTGAAAAATATCTGGCTTTTTCAAGTTTGATTTCGCATTTGGAATATCTTCACGCAACGTATGCTACATCCTCTACAGAAATTTAAAAAAAAAAACGACTATGTAACTCAATCCCCATAAAAATAAAGGAATATAGACACTGCTAAACAATAACAAATGAGAAGCAAAAGTAATACGTAATACTTACGTATAACCGTTGGGAAACGTCGACCGTGTCCTCCGCGCCTGGATATAGGTATCCTGTTGAGAAATTTACTAGAATTAAGAGGTGCAAGAATATGAAAAAATTGAAAAATGTTCCAGATGTAAAATTACAACTGCTCTTTGCGCGTAGAAATATCATTTTTTCATTAATAACTGATGCACTACCAATTCCTCATAAGGCGTTAGGAAAAATAACTGCAGTAGAAACCTTATGTGGCGATGTTCGGAAGAAGAAGGGTGACCTGCTGTACTTGCAGATTGCTGATCATCGTCTGATTCCGAAGTACTTTCACCTAAGTTACGCCTCTGAAATTCAAAAGTAAACTACAATAAGAATAGAAATAAGGAATAAAAGACTCAAAATATACATAAGGTTTCCCGATCAGAAAGAACCAAATTAGCGCTGCTCAATCAAAATCACGCTCAAAGCAACTTAAAAAAGCATTCCATTCTTCCTACTTCTGTAGATAAATTTTCCAAGCGTTTCTTTGAATTTTTCCAGTTATTCTTCCTCAATCACCGACAACCTTTTTGTCGAAAGCAAAGTAACGCTCTTTTCCTAAAAAGCTACCTCTTTGAAACTATCCCTTTCTCAAGCAATAACGAAACTAGAGCTTTCACAATTTCTCAAGAGCAGTCCCCTCTGCAAACCTATTTTCCATTTACACAGTATGCTTTCTAAAGGTGTGCAATTCAAGGATCATTGCCACATAACTTAGAGGTGTAGGTTGAGACATCAAAATCTTGATAGTACAAAAGAAAAAAACTGCTTAGGAAAATCTCATGTACAAACTTGAACTGTTTCTAGCAAAGTTTTTATGATTAGCTACAGCAATTAGATGGTCTTCAACAAAGTCAGCAGTCAAAACTTGAGAAGGAATTCACAAGAAAAACTAGAAGTTTTAATACCACTTCTTACCAAGCAAAATAGTAGTCTACGTCAGGATTTAATATTTTTTGAGATTTCTAAGATAATTAATGCATAAACTGTTCAGATCAAACCTAATACCCCAACAGCAGTCATTAATAGCAGCGCTCCTTAAAAGCGTGTTAAAGCAAGAACTTGACCTTAGAAATTATAAAAGAAGCTTGGATAAATTAAACAAACCGAATTGCATGCTAAATCTCGCGAAGCAGCAGAAAAATTATTTTTCAAAAAAAAGTTTTATAAAATTAAAAAAACTCTTGAGAATTAAGTCTTTAAACAAGAAAAATCCTACCAAATTTAAAAATTAAAAAACTATGGTGAAGAGGACAAAGACAAAACCCAGGAAAATTTTCCCAAATTAACCAGGCAAAAAATAAGCAGCGTTTTAAAACCAGTTATTCCTCTTGACTTTAAACTCAAAGCAAAGTCCTGAAAAGAAAAACAGTGAAGTAATCCTGTTCCTCAAAATGATTTAAGGTACAAAGTACCTTCTCTAACCTGCATCTCCTTCACTTACAAAATAATGTCACTCGCGATTACTTTTCCCATGCTTCAAAACCCAAAATAATTGCAGCTGTTAATCGAACTTTGGAACGTCATAACTACTAGGCATTACCTCCAAAAATAAACAAAGCTTAACTTTAAAAAAGTGAACTGATTTTTTCGGTTTCTAATCTAATCTTAAAGTTACCAATACCATAAACAGAGAAAACACTCTCTCCATATCCATTCATTGCTAAAGGTTCTAAGAGAACCAGCATACCCAGCAAAAAATTAAACCCTTACAAGATATGCACTGAAAAAATTTAGAACCAAGTTAAGCAAACAACAACAGCAAAAAGTAGCCTAAGGAATGAAAAATTGATGCTCCTAACGCAAATATCTAAACTGCACATTCTCTCTCACAGAAAAAAGTTCATGCTTAATTGAAAAACACTCAATACCGTCGGTTCACCGGCTGAAGTTGACCCTGCTCTGGGTGAATTACTTTGTTCGTTCTCCCTCGACGGTGCAACAGCTGAACTTGCTCGTGGCCGACGCTGAATAAAAAGACCGAAAGCTCGGAACTTGTAAATTTGCATTTGCAAAATAAAGTTGTCTGCTAATATTAAAAAAAAGGAAACTAACATGAACATCGGTCTGTATAGACTGTCGACCACCCATACAAACGCTGCTTCCGAGACCTATAGCTGCAGTGAGATAAGATCACTAGCAG